TGCTTGCAAAGCAATAAGCAAATGCTAAATGCGTTTTTTTAAGTCACAAAGGAAAATAATACACTCTGTGTTAAAAAGGGTGATTAAACTTTGTGACACTGTTTATTAAAAAATAGACATAAAAAAACAGCAATAAAAGCGTAAAATGAAATCAAATAGAATAAAAATAACATTTTTCTAATGAACAACATATTCGCAAAATGCACTCGAGTCTATTAAGATATGCGCATGCGCAGTTTTGTTCAAAACCACCAACAAATGTTCAATGCCCCCCTCCTTAAGGAAAACAAAATCTCGAACAATTTCCTCTTGAACTTTTTTTTTTTTTTTTTTCTGCGAATCTTTTTACTCATTTGTTTTTTAATCTCTGGTGTGGTGTGGAGGGGGTGTGAAGAGCGCGAAAAAGAAACGCCCGTCTCCGATCCGAATAGGGTCTTTCTTTTCGGTTTTGCGATTCGTCTCTTTTTCGAAATTCTTTGTCTCTGGCAACAAGGGCGTTTTTCAGTCGGGTTGATTAACTCCTGCGTAAGGTTCTTGGCTCAGGCACAAACGCACGACGCAATCAACAAAGCAAGTGAACAAAAAGCCGGGAGGTGCACAGGGGGCAAAGAAACGCTTGGAACACATAAATGCGCACGCCGTTCCTTCCCTTCCCACACCCACACCACCCACTCCGAGCAAGCGACTACGCATGCGTACAGAAAGATAAAGAGTGACACGGTTATAAATAGAAATTGTTTTTCAAAAAGTTGTTTATTTCATCGGCAGCAAGATTGATGAGAGATCAAGTACACGAGAGAGAATGGCACATCTTTCTCTCTATATATATGTATCTATCTCTCTATCTCTAAAGATATCGTTCTCTCTCTCTCTCACACACACACAGACATATATATATATATATATATATATATAGAGAGAGAGAGAGAGAGAGAGAGGGAGAGAGAGAATAGAGAGAGGGTGAGAGAGTAATGAATAGCGAGAGATCCGAGTTCGAATTCCAGTCAAGTTTATTACATTCAAGTTCATTACATTCACTTAGAGGCTAATGCTCTTGGGAAAGGTATGAATGCGTCTCTTCTCAAAGCGTTGGGTTGGCAACCTTTCTAAGAGACACATCACGCCAAAAATATCTTGGAAAATAAGGAAAAAAACATCAGCCTACAACAACCAATCAAAAACTTTCAAACTTTGCTTGGAGGAAAAAAATAGCTATCATTACTTTCCCAGACCAAAATAAATTATTAAATAAACGATCCGAGCTCATCTCAAAATGCAGACATGAAAACAAATTTTTACTACGTTACTTAAAAATCGAAAACGGAAAAAAATAAAATAAAATGAAAATAAATAAACAAAATAACAATAAAATAAGCAAAATTATTTAACTCAAATCACACCCGTTGGAATAGACGAAATAGAATAAATAAAAAAACAAAAAAAAAAAACAAAACAAAACAAAACAAAAAAACAATGAACCCAAATAAATAAAGTAAATAAAAAATAAATTGGGAAACCATTATGACCAAAATATTAGTTAGAAATATACTATATAACAAATAAATAATAATAAGTAAAATAAATTGACCTAGATTCATCCAAATAAATAAATAAACTAATACCGATAAACTAACCGTTAGAAAAACAAATAAAGATAATCAATCCAAATAAATACATGAAATAATAAACAAATTAAAAACTGTTCCCGTCAAAATAATAGAATAAACTACAACAACCAACCCCAAATTGTATAAATAGCTTTAATTACCTTCCCAAACAGAAACAAAACTATTAAATAAGCGATATAAACAAATTTTTACTACGTTAATAAAAACACCGATTAAAAAATAAATAAATAAATATATAAGATAAGAAATAAAAAAAGTAAAAACAAGCAAAATAATTTAACCCAAATAAATAAATAAACAAATAAACGACTTCCGGTAAATAACCGCCAAAATAGACTACCAACAATGCACCACTGACCCGTATATATATAAATAGCCGAGAAAAATAGCAGCACTCGTGGCCTGAGGATTGCATCTAGCATAAAACAGACTGTCGCCTCTAAGTGTTGACTTCTATGTTCACTTATATATATATATATATATATATATATATATATATACATCAGGTATGGAAATGAATTTGTTTTTTTACTAAAACAGAAACAAATCTATTTTCATATCTGATGATGTCTGTATGAACAGATGAAACCTTGTAAAAACTAAAAAAAAGATCTTATGCAACTGGAATTTATAAACAGGGATCATAACATTCATCTACAGGTTCGGGGTTAATGTAATTTATTAAATTTGTTTGCGAAGATGTATTCTCGCCATTTATATCATTAACTTCTCTATCTGCTTTTTGTATGAATGATTCATGTAATGTAAATTGAGCTGCACCACATACTTGATATATATATATATATATATATATATATATATATATATATATATATATATATATATGTATGTATGTATGTATATATGAAGGTAAAAGCTGATAGGAAAACTGTATTATTAGCCGACGCGTTTCGTCCATTGTGGACTTTTTCGAGGCAAAAACGAAATGAATTCTGATAAGAAAGGTGATATTGGGAAAAAAACCTTGGCGTAGATTAATATTTGGATTATATTCAACGGCGGCACACTCGAGGATTTTCGCCCTGAGTGAGTTATTTTCTTTTTTATGAGTGTTGCATTTTTAAAATAAAAATTCTGGTTGAATTTATTTCTATGTATCACTAATGTATTAATTAAGTTGTTTTTTGTAAGGTCTCTTTTGTGCTAATAGACGTGTTTTTTATTGTATTTTACCTTGATATATCGTCTTTTTCTACGGGTTATCTCTGAGAAAATTTTTTCATATATATATATATATATATATATATATATATATATATATATATATAAAAGATAGATAGATAAAGAAATATATGAAGAGAGGAGAACAGAGAGATAAAGAAAAATAAGAAGACCGAGAGACATCAATGGCAAGAATGTGTATAAGAAAGAGAGAGAGAGAGAGAGAGAGAGAGAGAGAGATACAGAGAGGTTAGTTTTTTACGACTTATCAACCCTTTGTAGGTTATTTAAAGTCGAAATGTATTTTGAATTGTAATAGTCTTTTCTTTGTTTTTTGCGAGTGAATATGAAGTCCTACTGTTTAACCCATAGTTGGTTTGAGAAAATGAATTTATACTTTCCCAATCGCATATTTGTACTTAAGTGAATGTAACGCAGAGAGAGAGAGAGAGAGAGAGAGAGAGAGAGAGAGAGAGAGGAAGGAAGGAGAGGGGGGAATTTGGAGAGAGAAAGGAAGTGTTGTAGAGAGAGGGGGTGTTGGAGGGAGAGAGTTAAGTGTTCGAGAGAGAAAAAGGAGTGTTGGGGATAGAGCGAGATGGGGAGTGTTAGAGAGAAAAAGAGGGGTGTTGGAGAAAGAGAGAGAAAGAGAGAGAGATAGAGAGGGGTGTTGGAGAGAAAGAGTGATCCCATGTAGGATTTAACTGCACACTCACCTAAGTGGGATACTCCACAAGGCTAGGTTTAAAGTAAACAACGCACGCATGCATGGCACTACAAACAACAAACACCTGAAGAACACCGGCGAGCACGTCGGCCGAAAAGGTTGTGATAACCACAAGGAAGATAAGGCCATTATCCCGAATGCAAATAAGAAAGTTGATGGATGTTGAAATGCCGAAATTCATAAGAATGTGGCTGAAATCGGGATATTGACAATATGGAATCAGACAAATAAAAGTTTTATCAGATCATGACGACTTTCCAATAACCTATTCGGTCCTGGGACGACCGTAGCCTTGCTGTGACGAAGATAATTAAGCTCTACACTGCGTGCCAAATTATTATCGAGATAACTTTTTTTCTAATATTTCAAAAACCGTCCAATCAATTCACACAAAATTTTCACGTAATGATCTGCGCAATGTAAACAAACTGGCGCCTTATTTGTTATCAGCACGGTGATTTGAGCGTGCCAAATTATTAGAAAAGTGTAAGAATTTAGTGAAAAGATGGGCCGTAAAAGCAGTTTAAGTGATGCTGAAAAGAAAACTATCACCTCAGAACTCTCAAAAGGTAAATCTACCCTAGAAATTTAAAAAATGATATGGAGGTGAAAAAGTTCACCGCCGACCCTACACAAGTACTCAAAAGGGCAGATAAAGGCAAGCCGAGGGTTATTTGTCTCATGTCACGACTTAAACGAGAGGCCACGAATAACCCTGGACTTACCAGTCAAGAGCTTTTCAGTCGCACTGGGGATCCTACTGTGTCTAAAAGTACTCGGTGTCTGTATCTGAGGGAAATAGCAACAACAGTCAAACCTGTATCGAAGCCTCCGTTGATGAGAAATCACATTCAAAATTGATTGAAATAGGCCGAGGACAATATGAAGATTGACTTCTCTAAAATTTTGTTCACAGACAAAACTCGAGGAACACTTGATGGGCCAGGTAGATGGCTGGGTAATGAACGGACAGAATCGCCATCATCGTTTGAAACGTCAATAAGGTGGTATGATCTGGGGTGGTATTATTGGAAAAACATTAGTGGGCCCATGGAGAGTACCAGATGGCGTCAAAATGACTGCTGATGCATACATAGCGTTTGTGAAGGAGCATCTTGAACCGTGGATGAAAAGGCAAAGAGTTGCCTTCAGAAGGGCCATTGTTTTTATGCAAGATAATGCTCCCTCACATGCTGCTCACAAGACTACTGAATATTTGAAACAGTTAGGCTTCGATGGACCTCGAAAAATGAAGTGGCCAGCAAATTGTTCGGATTTGAACCCAATCGAAAACCTTTGGAGCATCATGAAGCGAAGACTACGCCAACGGACGACAATTCAGGAGCAACGCTGAGTTGTTGGAAGCAATATCTCGCGGCATTACAGCAGATGACGTCCTACAATTAACAAATTCTATGGATCGTCGACTTCTTCAAGTAATTTCAAAATAGGGAAAGCACATTAGCTTACGGTCTAATCACGCTGAAAACACCGGTTTTCGTTCGATCACCGAAGTTAAGCATCGTAGAGCCAGGTCAGTACTTAGATGGGGGACCGCTTGGGAACACCTGGTACTGTAAGCTCCCAAAGTCCAACCCTTACCTCACAGTCGGTTGTAAACGGTAGTGTCAGAGCTATGCCGCCCGGAACCTCGTTCCTGGTAGGGCCACCCAAGGCAGCTGACACACGCCGGCTAACAAGGGCTCTGGTGAAAATCCAAGGAGCGTCTGCATCGGTAACCGACGGCTTCTGGTCGTTCCTGTCTCTGTGTCTGTGGGAACCCCGCGGCAAGCAAGAACGTTATCCGAGTAGGCCTGGGTACCCTACTTCTGTAATTTATCCCAAGAATCTTCTTCTCATAACAGGAAGAAGCCGGCTCAATCCGCCCAGGGTGAATGCCGCATCAGTACAGTACAGTATTCCCTATTAATTTGTTTAAAACTGTGCCTTTGTTTGTATGTGTTATTATTTGTTTGATTATCTTATTTATCAGCTCTTTTGATCCTAGACATTTCTTTTTTTACTAGGAAAGTCGTTGGAACCTGGTCGAAATGGCAGACAGGTTTAACTTGACACTCTTTTTCAAAAAATGACATAAAACAAGTGGATTTCAGGTAAAATTAACAGTTTTTTTGCCAAATGGTACCTGCTTTTTTGTCCTGGGTAAAACGATAACCTACAACCGACAGTAAGGACTCTAATCGGGAAGTTGAAGGTTTTCAAAAGCGTGAATCCACCTCATAATTGCTGTTGTTTCTAGGTCTACACTGGCCAGGGGTAGTAGCACCTGCTAGGGTCCCAGCTAGGGACAAATAGTGAACCCCTCAAACAAAAACAAAACAATATGAAATTATAAAAACATATTTTTATAGTAAAAATACGCGTAATACATTTTTATATAAAAAATGGCTAACAATATATTTTATCACAAAATGACCAACAATATATTTCATCTGTAGTTGAAGGCACACAATTGTCCTCAAAATATATAAAAACCATAAAAATGTGTTCAAAATATTTAGATTTCGGCATTAAATGACCCATAGAGATGTTGATATGCCGCTAAACAAAATCAGCCAACCAAAATCCAAATATTTAGATTTTGGCATTTAATGACCCATAGAGATGTTGATATGACTAACATATATCATATTTTTATTACTTCAAAGTTCCTAAGAAAATTAAATTTCAGTATTAAATGTCCCATAGAGTTGTTGATATGCCACTAAACGAAATTAACCTACCAACCAATCTGCTTTCTTTTTTTTACTCTGACTGCTGCGACTTAGCTCGATGCAGGCACAAATTCACCAAGATTTTTCTCCTTTTAGTCAGTCAGTTACGTGTCATGCGGGATACACGCTTAGGCAATCATGTATCTTTCGATATACATGACTGACATGGCAGATTTTTTCCCGCAGTAGGTTGCTATTTCTTTCTGCGGTAGACCAGTTGCAGTCGAAGGCTATAGAACCCGGTCTGTCCTGCTATTTACCCATAGTCAGTTATGTGTCGTGCGTGATACATGCTTAGGCAATCATGTATCTTTCGATACATGACAGATTTTTCCTGCTGTAGGTTGCTATTTCTTTCTGCGGTAAACTAATTGCCGTCGAAGGCTATAGAACCCGGTCTGTCCTGCTATTTACCAGAAGAAGAGGGTCCATGCCTTCCCCAAGTGAATGGAATTGACAGGAATTCGAACTCGGCTCTCCGATTCCCCAATCCGAGCCGCTATCCATTACTCCACTTTTACGGCAAATTTCTAAATGTTAAAACAATTTAAATTTGTGAAATTATTCTCGGCGAGACATTTAAAACTCACTCAGTTTCTTTCATATATTAAACTGTCAAATTTGGTGGTTTTGGTGCAATAAGCCGGGCACCAAATATCAATTTTCGATATCACTTTTCTTGTATCTGTTTGAAAATCATGATCTAGACTTCTATTCTTGTGTTTCCTTGGGCACTGAATCTATTTGTGGTATTAAAAATCCTCCCCAAATAAATCTAAATTTATACTCTTTTCAATAGTTTTGTATCTTCATTGCAGACCAGGCTTTCTCGACATAAACCCCTATTTTTTTTAAAATAGAAACGCGAAAGCTTTGTTTTCCCCTTCGTCCCTAATACAAATACGAGTGGAACAATGGGCAGGAAATTGTTCAATAGGCTTAAAAACCATAAATGTGCTTTTTGGTTCTATTAAGCGAACCCACTGTGTTCCAGACCTTGAAGGAACTTAGCACAGAAAAGAAGAATATTACTAAAAAATTATGTTATATGTCTGTATTTTTGTTTATATATTTAGCAACTTGGAAATATATTTACACAATTCAAAAAGTTTTAACGCAAATAAGTGACCCTTCTAAATAAGACGATAAATTACATCCAAGAGCAAAGCCTCTCATCAGGATGTTTTCAGGAGTGTGGGACCACCTCTTAGTTGCTGGTGTTCCCAGGTCCACCTTGGCTTGGTGTGGTAGCACCTGTTAGGGTCCTAGCTATGGGCAAATAGTACCCCCCCACCAAAAGGGGTCAAAACACTATGAAAGTGTAAAACTAAGTTTTAATGCCAGCAGTACATTTTTGTAAAAGGTTATTACCAGCAATGAATTTTTGAAGAGAAAAATCATTATAAGGAATACATTAAAATCTTGTCAGCATAAAATAACCCATAGAAGTTGATATGCCGTAAAACAAACCAAACCAAGCCGTTGGTAATTACATGAATAGTGATGTCTTTGTTTAGCCTTAAAAAGTACAAACTCGTAAAGAGTAAACCAGTTAGGGTCTCAGCTATGGGCAAATGATGAACTCTATGGGTTATTTAATGCCGAAATCTAAATATTTTGAACACAATTTTATGGCCTCAAATATATATATATATATATATATATATATATATAAAGAAAGAACAGCAAGATATATAAACCGGTGTTCTTATAGATATTTTTATTTTTACAAAATAGTGCTCAATGTAAATTTACAGAGCATTAATATTATACATTAATTGATTTTTGAAACATGGTTAGAACTGTGTAGCGAAAAAACCATATTTTAAATCAATTAATTTATATATATATATATATATATATATATATATATAATTCAATTGTATGCCTTCAACTACATCTAAAATGTATTGTTAGTCATTTTGCTATCAAATGTATTGTTAGTCATTTTGCTTTTAAATATAATGTTGGACAAATTACTATAAAATTTATTGTTGGTCATTTTGCGATAAAATGTATTGTTAGTCATTTAGCTATGTGGATCATTTTGCGATAAAATTTATTGTTGGTCAGTTTGCTATAAAATGTATTGTTGGTCATTTTGTTATAAAATTGTATAGTTAGTAATTTTACTATAAATATGGATTGTTTATACTTTCATAGTGTTTTGTTTTGGTTCAGGGGTTCACTATTTGTCCATGACAGGTGTTACTACCCCGCGTCAAGTTGGGCCCTCGAAGAACAGAAATTAAGAGGTGGCTCTACGCTCTTCAAAACCTTCAATCTCCCGATCAGAGTTCTTGATTGTAGTTAATCATCATACCAAAGACTTATCCTGAATGACCACGGCACATGGAAAAAGAATATGACAAATATGTCGATAAATACTGAATGTTTCTCGTATAGGTACGGTTAATTTCACTCTTACCATAACCAGTAGTTTGAGAGCTGAAATCTCAACCCACGAGGCTGCGATTCTGTTGGGTTAATACCTTTGGAGTAACTGCAATTTCCGATAGGAGTTCTTTGTTGATGATTGTGTAATGCGTATTCATTTGAATCAAGGTATTTATAGTTTTTTTTTGTCAGTGAATATCTTAACCGAATAATAAGATGAATTGAACATACCTCGTGACTATGCGCATGGCCGCACATCTGCCCGAATATACCGGCTTATGCAAGTAATTATGTATTTGAGACTGGATAACGATGTGGGTATGTTTCAAATGGTGACCGGAAATCAATAAATCTTATGGGGCACATATTATGTGCACAATTGAGCTACAACTGTTTTTCTCTCTCTATCATTCTGGCTTTCATTCTTTTCTCTCTCTCACTCTCTCTCTCTTTCTTTCTCTCTCTCTCGCTTTCTGACTATAAGATCCGGGTTCGAATCTCACCATGGTCGAATTGTCAGGAAGGAGATTTCCTGATGTTATCAGTCTGGAGGTGGGGGCGATCACAGCGTGTGGCACCTTTGAAAAAGTGCCTGAAAACCATACCAAGGGTTGACCCAAGCCTTGTGAGTGAAATTGGTTAGGCGGAACCCTTGGGGGCCGTCGATATCTGTGCTAGCATGAAGTCACCGAGGGTTTGAGTGTGCTGGTGTTTTTCAGATTGTCCATCATTCTAGATAACACGATCTTTCTCAGAAACTGTAACTAAGGTCTGCTCAGTATAGTTACAAAATAAACCACAGGTGGGCTCTGTGGGTGTTGAAAAAAATACAAATGTGCCTGAGCAAGAGTCTGCGATAGGGAGTGGCTAACCGCCCTAGTAGACGGGTATCCTCGAATACGAGTGACCAGCTATTATATATATATATATATATATATATATATATATATATATATATATTTCATTGAAAATACATCCCTACCCACTACCAAAACGTAGCAATAACTGATACATTAAAATATAGACACCGAGACAAACCTCGTCTAGTAAATTGGATTCATCTGTAACCCTGGAAATATGAATTATGATTTTAGCTGTGTCTTTAAAACCCAGTAATTTTAAAAGTTACTCCAAAATTCGCTTGAGGATGAAATGGAACTAATCTCTTTAATTTAATTACAAAATTAAATTTGGGGCATATATATATATTCATAAGAAGACATTATAATTAAAACATTTTGAAATCGCTACACAAAAGCTTTCATGTTTCAATACTATGGTTGTACTTCTTCAGGTGATAGTAAGTAACTGGTGATTAAAATGATTTTTAAGGAAATTTATAAAAAAAAAGTGTTAGCTATTTTCCGAAAGTTAAAGTAGGGGGACATACTTTCCTTAGAAATCATTTTAATCACCAGTTACTTACTATCGCCTGAAGAAGTACAATCA